CTTCCACCTTTCTATGTTTTCCTTTAGCATGAGTTGGTCTCTCTGACCTTGCTGGTATCAAGTAAACACTCTAAATTCAAAATCAAAATGAAAACTTTTTATCTGAGGTAAAATTAATTTTATCTATAAGAAAGTACTGAGTAAATATTGATTTATTACCTTATGCTCTTTAGGAAATATTTGCACTATCAAATCAGATATTTTTCGAAAAAATAAATCATTACCTCTGTAATATTTTGAAAAATCACCAATTTAAATATTTTAAGTATAATAAATAAATATGTTTTATTCAAACTTGCTCTGCTCCTGGAATAGATTTATTAAAAGTTGAGTCAATATATTCTGAGCTTCATCAGATAGAAATCCATTATTTTTTTTTTAATCCGCAAGTACATATCTACCATCATTTGTTGTATGCAATTTTTCAAAGTGTCTATTATTATGACATTGTAATTATTAATATTTTTTCAATGGAATTTAATATATCATTTGTATTTTAACTAAAATGTTCAATTAAGTATCTAATTTTTTTAATGTATTTCATTCAATAAGTGTAGGTAAAAAAAAAATTACACATAATTGACTATTTTATAAGTAAATATTTAAGAATTTGGATGCCTATATAGGTAATTTATTTTTCAAAACAAAAATACAAAATAATGTATATTTAATAATTTCAGTCATTTTAATTTCACAAATTTTCATTTATTTATTTATGATTTATTTAAATGGCTAAATCCCAATAGATGCTTTAAAATTGTCATTGTGTTAATGATAACAACAGTTTCATTGTACTGTGATAGCAATCTTTTAATAATGGACAATATTAAAAAACTAATAAAATGTCAAGTGAAAAAAAAATCAGTAACCTAGAGGCATGTTATTTTTATTTTTTATTTAGCCTTTGTATATTAGGTATATTAATCTTAATCCAATATTTCTATAAAACACATTAAATTATTTTTAATTATTAACAAAATAAAATTTTTTAAATAATTTACTTTATAATTATGTCTAATTATTATTATTACAATAGTTTATGTTTAACCATTACCAATTATATAAATTATATTTCTCAGATAATAGTAAGTAGGGAAAAAATTAATTAATTGTTAATGAAAGTATTATGATTAACTCTAAAATTGTATTAGAAAATATTTGAATTTGATTCAACTCACTTCAATTGTCCATTGCATAGGCTTATATTTACCATATTTGCTATGATCCTTTTACAAAACTTCTACTTGTCTAACATTTGTTGGACCCTGATTAGTTTTATTGTAAAATGGAATATCTATCAGTGAAGAATTCTGTGGATCAGGTAATTTATTTTCGTTAGGTTAGGTCAATCTGTGACGACGTTGTCTCCAAAGAATCCACGAAAGGATAATAAACAAACTGTAATTTATAGTATAGTAAATTTAAAAATTAAGTACCAAATAATCGAAAAACCGTTGAAAAGTTAGACTTACTTCGTCAGATGGAAACAGATCCATTGCCAGTAATAGATTCACATCGGTTGGAGCAGAAATTATAACAAAATAAATGTAAATACAAATCGTGTGGAAGTGTGAACATCGAAAATAATAAATATTGATATAAATAAGAAATAATTGTCATTAATCATTATACTTGGAAAAAATAATTTTCCTGTGGTAAAATCTAAATTTAGAATGTTCTTTTTATTAATTCAACCGTCACTTTAACCTTTAAATATTCAGATACAATACTAATTGTGTTGATTTAAGGTACGCGTCCATAGGTACGCATCGTACGTATCGGTCGGATCGTATGAAACGGATCAAATTGTGGTAGTGCGTCTACTGTACCGGTAGCAATCATATTGCCGATGCGACGGTCGGTTTTTTTTAGTAACATTCGCATTATCGTAGCGAAATCCGTATGACGTCATCCGCACCAGTCGGAAAAGTTGCCCCTTCGATCAATTTCGTCGGCATTACCGACGGACCGATACGTGCGATCTGTCCCCTGCCGGTCAGTGGACGCATATGTGTAACTTACTCTACTAATAATTCTAAAATCCGTTTCATACGATCCGTACGATCGGACGTATGAACGCGTACCTTTAACAATAATGTCAACTATCAAATTAATTATCTATAGAACCTATTGTTTGCATTAGGTATACAAATGTTATTTTTACACTTTTATATTTTATTATAAGTTACAGAAAACTAAATTTAAGATTAGTATACTCAACTCTTAAGTTTAAGTAAAATTAACTACAAAATTCTAAATTTGAATACTTACCAAAATTCAATTTAAATACAATATATTTTTGAAATGTTTTTAATTTTTGGTTATTTAAAATATGGGTGTTGTTAAACAATATTATTTGATTCAACTCTCCATTTCCATTATTTAAACCATATTAAAATCTTAATATAATATTCATACATTCAACACCTTAACATAAGTAAAATCAACTCCAATATTTCTATGTGTGTACAGTGAATTTAAATGGCTAGAATATATTAGATCTTGTAATACTATTTTTTGCTTTAAATGTATTCATTCTTTGCAGAAAATTTAATAAAAACTAGATACAATATTGGAAAAAGTAATTTTTTTTTACTTGAGTATTTATTTATATAAATTAAAAATAATTATTGCTTATAAATTAAAAATCATATAATTTTTTAGTATTCAATCTAGAATAAGAGACTTACACCCTGAAGCAGTTTTCATTCATCGTATGACTTTTAAATTGAATTTGGTTACAACATTTACTTGTAGAACCATAAGGTGCATATAAAAGAAAATTATATCTAAATATATCCTTATATCCAAGGTTTTGACACAAATAAAACAAATTACAACTATCAAAATTGGTCTTCTTGTGCATGTTACGTATGCTATATTGGATGAAATTATAAGATACTTTAAGTTAATGATTTAAAAGATATTTAAGCGCTTGCAAATTCAATAGACAAATTAATTTAATTACATTTTAATAAAATCATAGTGTTTCTTGACCATTACCAAGTATAAGTCAACTTTAATAAATACATTTAAATGAAATATAATAATTGCTTAATACTTTTATAATTTTAATAATGTATTTATTTTATTATGTAAATACTTTTCTTTCGATACCACGTCCCTACAAACAAGACTTCGTTACCCGACGGACAAAAAAGATCACGTGTAGGGACGTGGTATCGATAGAAAAGTATCTATATTTTTACTTGGTATCGAATTGAATGAAAATACCGATATGAGTAAGTATCGAAAGAAAAATATTGATCCTTTAACTTCGTCGTATCGTATCAAATTAAAATAATAAGAGTAAAATATAAAAACGACCTATATGAATAATCGTTCCGATTAAGAGGAAACCTTTAACGCTATTGTATTGTGGACTGTGGTTTCTGTTCCGTGGAAATAACAATATAATCGTATAGAGCAGGGATGGCAAATCCTTTGCACGCGAAAATGTTTACTATTATATATTATATAATATATAACATTATAGGACCTATAATATAATCAATAATTAACAAAGCAATATTATTAGAATTATTATTATATACCTAAACTAACCTTTTTATACTAATACATTAATTATACAATCAAAATATAATATAACAAAATATAATATTTTTCATATTTTTTTCGTGGCACGCTCTATATAAAAAAAAAAAGGTAATTTTGGGCACGCGGTGTTCAAAAGGTTTGCCATCCCTGGTATATAGTATAGACCAGTAGATGACCAATTAATATTTTTGAAAGGCAACATTAGGAATCTGAAAATTTTTTGCGGGCCATTAAGATTCTAAGTACATATTTTCAACTTATAATAAGACAATAGGTATTATTTTAAAATTAAATGTAATGAGAACGTTATTTATTTTATTTATTATTTGCTATTGTTTTTAAATATTAAGAACATAATTAATATTTCAATATTTAAAAAATTAAAAATAAAAATAAAATAGAAATTTGTTTAGTAAGAAAAATGACAAATCTTGCTCTCGACTGTTTAAAATTGGGGGTCTGGTAAGTGCATGCTATCTATGCATGCTAACCATGCTATCTATCTTCATAATCATTTCAAGATGTTTGTTGATTAGCTGGGATCTGAACTTATTTTTGATATAATTCATTTTTGAAAAACGGTCGGTGAAAACCAATTATATTTAATAAAATAATAATTTACAATAATAACTAGGGCTCGGAAGTTGTAGCACTAAAAATGTTACTTTTTAGCTCTTAAATATGCACTTAAAAACTCTAAAATATGCGTTATAAATAGCATGAAAAATCAAAAAATATGCGTTTAACTTGAAGAAATTATAAGTCGATTTGAAAAAACTATAATTTTAAAAATTGAGCTCATAGACACAGTCTGGATTAGTTAAATTATAAACCGTTAACAAAAATGTCTATAACATTATGTCAGCAACAGCTGGACCACAAAAAAACGCTCAAAAGTGGTCCGTGTGTTAGGCCTACCTAAATCCTAAATTAGCAAAATAGCAATAAGACCCGTAAATATGCAAAAAAAATAGCAAAATTAAATTTTGTGTATGATATCTGTGTAACGTGAAACATATTTGTATCCTACTTTCGATGTTCTAGGATGAACAAAGAAAAATATGCGTTTGCTAGAACTTCTGAGCCCTGATAATAACGCATAGAATGTTATCGTAATATGTGTTTTTATTTTTTGTCTGCGGGCCGGATAAAATTTGTTGGCGGGCCTCCATTTGGTGACCCATGGTATAGACTATAGTGCGATCACTGATTTATATAAGCAAATCCTCCACCACGCGCGCAAACCATTTTACTAGAAAAGAATTATTATTCGATACCATTCGACCACTTTTGATTTTCGAACCAATAAAGCGATTAGTAAATGATTCGATACCGGTATTTTTTTCTATCGATATGAGTAAAGTATCGAAACCATGGATATCGATGTAAAAAGTACTTGTATCGAAAGAAAAGTATCGATACTTTATTGGTATCGGTAGTATCGCAACGTCCCTACTTGTCTCGCAGACGTTATCATTACGGGTCGAAAAAAATTTAAACATCAATAAATACACGCTCGTTCGCGCTATAGTACGCAACGTTTGTTCGTTTCATTTTTCGGTCGTCGAAACGGTGGTTTCACGAGGGACGTTGCGTTCTCAAAAATGTCCGAGAAGAGGGAACGCGAAGACAGCGACAAAAGCGAATCGTCCGATGACGAATGCGTCGGTCCCAGTCTGTCCGAGGCAACGGAAACCGTTGAGAAAAAGAAAAGAAAAGGTATGTTGGCTTATTTCGATGTCTCGGTACATTCATTTGGTCCATGTCACATTAACGTGCCAGCAATTTGATTCACTTTTGTCGATTAATATCATGGATTGGGGGATTGAGTTTTGTAGCAAAACAAATTGTGAAAAGCAAAGTATGAAAGTAAAAATTTAACTCGCACAATAATTATAGAATCCATAAACTTCATACTTATCGATTGTGTTTTTTTTCCCATAACTAACATTGTTTATGAACGATTGTTATCGATTCGATATACACCTAATTAATACTGTATGCCAAAAAATATTTGGAAAATGCAAAACAAAGTTTATTTTGAGATATATAGATTGAATGAGGTGTATATATTTACTTATATAAATTATCATTTAAGACAGTTAAAAAAAAAAAAATTTTGTTATTGTTAGAGCACTGTTTTTATAAATCGTGTTAGATGCAAGTATTTAACAGTAGAACTATGGATGAACAAAATTTAATGGCTCTATATTTTTCTTTTATTGCAGTTTTAAAGCATGAACATTTGTATTTGGAAAATTTACCAACTTGCGATACGTATGAAAAAAGTTATATGCACCGAGATGTTATCACACACATATTAATTACCAAGTAATTTATTTTGGCTTATATTTATAGTATTGAATATAATTTTCTTTTTTTTTAGAACTGATTTCTTAATAACTGCTAGCTGTGATGGGCACGTAAAGTTCTGGAAGAAAACAGAAGAGTTGATTGAATTTGTCAAACATTTTCGCAGCCATCTCACTCCAATCATTGACGTAGCAGATAATTATAATGGAACTCTCATGTGTACAATATCATCAGATCAAACTGTCAAAGTTTTTGACGTCATTAATTTTGGTATGACTGAAGTAATACTATAAAAAAAATATAAAGGAAACTATGTCTATTTTTTCTTTAAATGTTAAAATTATTTATTTCATTGCTATTTTTCTCCTTAGATATGATCAACATGATAAAATTAGAATACATACCATTAAGTGCATGTTGGGTACATTCAAAAGGAGATCCTATTCATACTGTTGCTGTGTAAGTATTTATGTATTATAGTAGTTATTAGTTTAATTCAAATAAAATTGTCACAGTTAAATGGAAATCAAATTGAGTTTTAATAATTTTAATTTATAAAAAAATGTATGGGTAATCGTTAAAATTGGTAAGAAATAAACATTTTTTTTCCATTATGTATAAACTAAAATGGTTTCAATGCAATATTTGTACTAATTAACATAATATAATGATTAAGCCACAACAAATATATTTAATGTTATAGAAGTAGTTCTACCGAACCAAAGATATTTATTTATGATGGTAAAGGAACAAATGAACCACTTCATGTTATAGAAAAAATGCATTCCAAACCAGTTGTATTCATAAAAGTAAATCTATATTTTCACAAATAAATTATGTTTGGTCATTGCAATATATTATCTGTGAAAAAACTTATCTATTTAAAATGGTTTTTCAGTTCAATTCCGTATTTGATGTAGCTCTATCAGCAGATAAAAGCGGCATTATTGAATATTGGTCTGGAGCCAAAAAGGATTATCAATTTCCAAAATGTGCTCAATTTGATTCCAAGCTTGATACTGATCTCTTTGAATTTGTGAGACATAAAACACATCCAACAAGCTTGTGTTTTTCCAATGATGGCTTAAAGTTCGCTACTATGTCACCAGATAGAAAAGTAAGGGACATTCTATCTCAAGCATTAAATATTGGTGCTTTGTGTATAAAAGTTTGGACCACAAAAAGTGGTATAAAATGTACTTTATGAAATATTTTGAAACTTATTAATATAATATGAAGTATTATTATGCTAAAATAATGAATCTTTTATTATTATTTATTGTTAGAACCATAATATACTTCTTTCAAAATAAGATAATTTTTAGTATCATAAGATGCTGGCATAAAATTATTTTTGTCACTCAAAATCATTATTATGTGTATACTATGATTTAATTGTATTTGATGCTGTGCATAATTAATATTGATTTTCTTTCAATTTTCAAGGTTAGAGTTTTTAATTTTTTGACTGGAAAATTATATAGAGTTTATGATGAATCCTTGGCTCGTTTTAGTGAGCTACAGCAAAAAAAACAACAAATTCCTAATATTGAATTTATTCGAAGGTAGTATATTAAATTAATTATTGCTTTCTAGTAACTAATGACTTTTATTAAATTTTAGAATGGCTATGGAACGAGAATTGGATAAGACTGAAATCTCACACACAGCCAATTTGTGTTTTGATGAAAGTGGTCATTATTTATTTTATCCTACCATGTTGGGCGTGAAAGTTGTTAACACTTTTAGTAATACATTAATCAAAATTATTGGAAAACCAGAGAACCTTAGAACATTAAGAGTCACCTTATTTCAAGTCAGTACACAGCGTAAGTTGTACGTTTCGTTTTGAGAATTTTAATTTCACTTTTTTTAACTTGACATTCAATCGGCGTGTACAGGGTAAGGCAAAAAAACCTAAAGCAGCAGTTACATTAGAAATGGAAGCGGCATCAAATCCTACTCTGGAAGGGCCTTCTAGTGATCCTACTCTGTTCTGTACGGCATACAAAAAAAATAGATTTTATATGTTTACCAAGTTAGTTTTTACCCTCTCGATTAATTTACTGTATTTTTTAATTAAAAATTGTAAATACTATTTTAAAATGTATTTTTACATAAGACTTATAAAAAATTTCTTTTGACAGACGAGAACCTGAAGATATTAAAAGTATTGATGCTGATCGTGATGTATTTAATGAAAGACCTTCAAAGGAAGATATCATATCTTCTACTGAAGCTGCTTGTAAGTTAACTTGTATGAGTTGTTTAAATATATCATTATATAGTTAATGTATGTGTGTTCTCTAACAAAATATTATTAAAAGAATACTGTATTGCAATAAACTACTAAATAGAGTTGTTTTACACATAAAAAATGTATTTGTTAACTGAGAAACTTTAGATTTTGTATTTGATTAAAAACTATATTTGAGTTACATAACCATAATGATTAATTATTATTTTTTTCTTCTAGGTATTCAACGACTGTATGACACAGCTACTTTACATACTGTTTTCGGAGATATTCAAGTTGCACTGTTTAAAGAATGCCAGAAAACTGTTGAAAATTTTTGTGTACATAGTAAAAATGGATATTATAATGGTAACATCTTTCATAGAGTAATCAAAGGATTTATGATACAGACAGGAGATCCAACTGGTGAGCATCAGATGCTCTTAGAGAACACAAGTAATGATAATTTATTACAATTGTTCTAGGGACTGGATTGGGTGGAGAAAGTATATGGGGTGGAGAATTTGAAGATGAGATTCGACCACACTTGAAGCATGATAAACCGTACACGTTGAGTATGGCCAATGCAGGACCACACACAAACGGAAGTCAATTTTTTATTACACTCATACCTACAGTGAGTAGCTAACAGCTTTCATTATTTTGACAATATTTTAATAATTTCATTATTTATTTTTATTTTTAGCCTTGGTTGGACAACAAACACACTGTGTTTGGCCGTGTCACTAAAGGAATGGAAGTGGTACAAACTATCTGCAGTGCCAAAACACACCCGAAAACTGATAAGCCACATGATGACATACAAATAATTAATATAAGTTTGAAGTGAATTAATAACTAAACTTAGCTCGTACTTTGTGTAAAGAATTATTTTGTACAGTTAAAATTTTTAACATAAATAATTTTTTTTCAATCACTTATTATTTTTTTGATATGAGATGAGAATTTGAAATTGGACCTTCCTGACTACAAATTTGTTTAGAAAATGAAAAAAAAATAGTATTAAGCTCTTTCATTTTTAATATTTTACAATAATAAGATGTTTAATAGTTTTTCTTCATCATAAAAAGTTATTTTTCTTCTGTTTTTAGCAGTATTGTTGACAGTCTTGTTTTTACTTCTAATAATAATATTAGAATTATTATTAATAATATCATTAATTATTAATACTAGTATTTATGACCAATAATAATATATACTTAACATATATACTGGATGTTTGAAAGAAGTATCTTATAGTTCAAAATCATATTGAAAATATGTAGGATATGTTAAAATAAAAAAACAGATAGGACTCTAGCATAATATGTTGGCTGGTCCAATAACTACTATTGTATATACCACTGGCTGTATGTGTAGTTCACCAAAATTTGGTTGAAATAAAACAAAGTATTAACACTAATATCAATCAAAGTTCTATTAAACATTATTATATAAAATAAATATTTTTTGTATTTTTAATTTTTATATGAATATAATATAAAATTAACAATGTAAGTATGATATTAATGTAATAGTAAAAAAAAAAATACTCCAAGTATGTAAATTTGACATGAATAAAGGTTTTCACCTGATATATAATTTAAATCGTGAAATGTAATAACATAATCTAATATTGATTAGCTGTTTGAGACTTTTATAATAATTGATTACCATAAAAGTTATATTAGACTGTGTAATTGTTTTAAAAAATAAATTCACAAAGAAAAATTGAATAAAATTTAAATAAAATACTATAACCCCAAGTGGTCAATACAATTTAAATGCTACCAAAAAATGAATAAATATTTTCTCATAATCTCATTGAAATAATTATTTTTTGGTAACTTTTAAATTTTTTTATAAATAAAAACATACATGTAAATGAAAATAAATTCATAAAAAAATATATTATAGCAAACTTAATAGACGGGTATGCGTTTATGGGCAAAACTGTATTTACTCCAAAGGTGCTTCATCGGGCAAGGCGGAGACACTTTCATTACTTTCAGGGTCTTCTACTTGAGCCTTTTTTTCATAAATAACTTCAGTTGAACGTACAACGCCTGCCTCAAGGTCTAACCATCGACCTTTCACTGCATTTTTTGCAGGTGGCGACCACCAATTCACTAAGTTACCAAAAACTGGCACATGTCGTAAAATTCCTTCTTGCCAAATCTTTTCTTCGGTTTCTTTTTTTAAGTCTACAGTCGCAGTTTCTATACCTAAAAAAGAAATGTTTTCATACTTCAATTGTGAAATCAAATTGACTCTAAGATTGCTGTCCTCATACCTTTTTTTACAAGTTCAGTCATTGAATCAATATATTTGGTAGATTCTTCTTCTTTGCGTCCAGTACTTTGAACTAAAGACAACAATTCTGCTACATCCGTATCAGCTGTGACCATACCAAACCTGACACAGGCGAGACTGTCGCTTCCTTCTCCTAAAAGTGTGTACAAATTAATTTAGATAATACTTAATACACCCAAGAGTTAATTATCCACTTACCAAGTGAAAATGCAGCATCGATTGAACGAAGCTGTTGCACAATACGTACATTTAATCTATTTAAATCTTGTTTTGCTTGATCAGTAGCCAATTGTTGGGCAGAAGATTGCCACTGCTGTGGCACATATCTCACAGCACCCAATCCAGCCCAATCATCAATTTCAACATATTCTAATGATGGTAATTGTGCAATTAATCCGGTTAGTTTATCTTTATAGTCAACCGTGGCTAGCAGAATTTCCTAATGAACATGAAGAATTAAGCTCAAAAATATCTTAAATTATTTCCCATTCAGATAACTATTATTAAATCTATGGCTTGTCATACTAACAATGTGTTGATCCAAGCATATGCTAAATGTTTCCCAGTCATCTTCTGTTACCAATGAATTTAAAATAGTAAATGGTGAAAATGCCACTACAACACCCAGAGTTTCAATCTCACATAGCTCTAAAGGGGCTTCAGGAATTTCTCGCTCCAAAACTTGACCCAACTAAAATAATCCATAAAATCAAAAAAATAAAATAAATAATGCATGCAATAATAATGTTTGTTACCCAAGAATTTAGTTTATTGTAATAAGGGGAAACCCTTTGATTGCAGTCTTTTGGTACAAATTGAATAATAAAACAACTTATTAGATTGTGCAATAATTCCTGATGGGAAAAAATATCAGTATTAGAGAAATTATAAACAATCATTATCATAAGATATAAAAAATGTCAACTAAACTGGAATATTTCTATGGTTGGCAATAATATCAGCAACTGTTTCCTCATTAAGTGTTTCATCATTAATTGTATTTGGTACTGTATAGTTTCGATCTTTTGTTTCACACTAAAAATGTAGATAACATTATAAAAGTATTAAAGAATAGAAATACAATATCCTAAGTACCAAAATTCTGAGGCAATTGTATTTTTTAACTAAACTATGGATGCGGTGACAAACTTCAAATTTTTGTTGTATCCTTAAAATAAGTGCATCATATCCTAAAGCCTGAAGAAATATGTTGATTAGTTTTATATTCCTTCGATCAATAAATTATTAATCTATCAATACTAACTTGAAAACATGACCAAACAGGTAAACATTTACTCTTGTAAGTATTCAATATTTCTGTATTTGAATATTGTTTATCAAATAAAGTCTAATAATTATTTTTTAAGAAAAATCATACCAAATATATGAATATAATAAAATGATTATAGTAACTAATCTACAATCAACACTTTTTATTGACTTTGCTTTAGTCATAATCTTCTTCCAGATAATTTTTCTTCCCTTTGCACTCTCCACACACACGAAGCAGTATGTGACTTAAATCACATTAGTTTCTCAGATCTTTTTATTTTTCTTCTCCACAACTCATTATTCTGAAAACTTTTCTCTTGGTTACTTTTCTCCTCATAAAATTCTTTTTTTTAATTCTCATTCTCATTTTCATAGAAAAAAAAATGTCCGTCTATAATCTTTTGGATAAAGAAAAAAAAAACTTTGATTAAAAATTACATTAACTCAAAAGCCATTTTAAAAACAACTAAACTAGGAAACCTCAACCATTGTGCCTACATATCACTTCACCTTAGTTTTTTATGTTTATTTTAAATAAATAAGTCATAATATTAATTTTTGAGTTATTGATATTGATCAATATTGATCATTTTTATGTTTAATAATCAAAAATAGATGACATCTAACTTTGGCAAAATTGCTTCATTTTTGTTAAATATTAAGAACAGTTTTTCTTAAATAATGAATTTATGAGCCTTTTTTCATATTTTGTTGATCATTATTAAAATGTTAAAAAGGATACAATAACAGGTAATGCTGAAATATTTAGCCAGATGCTTGGTGTCAATGTTATACTATCGGCTAAATTAGGAGTACTCTGAAAGTGTGAAAATATTTAGATTATAAATAAATTAAATATTTTCATTAGTAATAAGTTATAACATAAAACATACTTCAGTTTTGAATTTGGCTAAAGCTAATCCTGACAAATTATCACCCGACAAGTGCATCCAAATATTGTATTTACTACATAATTCTTTTAGATCTACAATATCGTCCATCTGACCAGTGACATGTGCTCCTAATATATGAAATTAATCTTAAATTAAGAAATTAATAAATATGAAGAAAAACATTATTTATTACCGGCTCTTGCAAAAACTATCAGAGTTTTTTTACCATTTTCAACATCATTTTTTATAATAATTTCAAATGCTTTTAAATCTGCTTTGTATGGGTATAGTACATCTGATAGACATGGTATGATTTGCACACATTTTTCATTCATTCCGAGCTGAAAAAAACAAGGTAGATTAAGTGTTGTTTTCCTAATAGATAGAACATTTATATATAAATAACTTATTAATTGATAAAATTCTAATTACTTGTAAAGCGGTTCTCTTGATAGTGCTAATCAAAACCGGATCTGGTGTGCAGTAAATTATTGGCAATCCAGATGGACTAAAATACTCTGGGCCAAACATACGATGTAATGCAAGCAGTATTACTCTTTCATAACTCAAAATCATGTTTTCTGTGTAAAACGCCCCGCAGTTAGAAAATCTAAATTTAAGTTGAATTAAATTAATAAACAAAGCTAAAAGGCAGATATTGTGCACAATATGTGTATTTAACGTCAGTCATGAATTTTTATACTAACTGAAACAACTGAGATAACCACATAGTAGTTGCTTTGTTGATGAGCGACAAAACTGGCACGGTCTGTTCATTGGGTAGACAGTGACTGATGTAATAGCTAAGAGAATATGATGTCAGACTCAGCTTGTCCAGATTTTGAAGTACAGGAAATGGACTGTCTTCAAACTCGTCACCATTATCTTTCTTGTTCTGATTGATCACCAATGTCTGTAAGGTCAAAAAAAATTATTAGGAATACAAGTTGTGTGTACAGCGATGGGATACGATGAGCTTACTTGTAACGAAGTCAGAATGTCACTAAATGACTTAGAGCTTGATGACAATACATGCGATGTTGGCTGGGTGTTGGGCTGGTTGTTTTCCAGATTGTCCAGTGTGTTTAGGAACTGTACATGGAGATCATTGAATGGAGTATTGTTGACCTGTAAAGGATAACAATTTAACGGTGAAAGAAAAAAGATTATACGGTCGGAGGCACTTACGTTGTTGTCCAGCATCGGATCAACAGCTGCATTGACAAAGGCGGTTTTTGTGTTATTTACGTCAGCGGAGGACATGGTCAGATGCACTATTGTTGGCGCGCGAATGAATCAAAAACTTGGCAGTGACGTGACGTCGTCATGTACCCGTGCGTTCTATGATGATTGTCTATCGCACGGCCGAGTTATAAATTAGAAACTGTATTGTTACAGTGGATAACGGTAAAGAGTTAAGATGGTGCAGTTTCGATCGGTGTGTTCTGTGTCGACACGTTACGTGTTACGTACGTATTGCAGATACGGCGAATGGTTCGGCTCTCTGTTTGAACAAGCGAACCACCGAACAAACGAATAAGCGAAAAGCCGAGGAAAAACGGATAAAAAACAAAAAGACGATGATTTATGGGTTTTGTACCCACGGTGTACACGACAACGGCGAGTTTGATAATTTTTAAAACGTTTAAAAAAATAATAATAATAATAATAATTAATAATTGTTTTATTATTGTTTTAATAATTGAACATTACAACTTAGTAGAGTAAAACATAAATTCAAATATGTTTTTGTTACGTATCGATATTGATAACGATTGTGTGATGCTCTGATAACCGCGATTGTTATCTGAACACGGTTACTCGATTACTTTTTTCTTCGTCGGCGACGAGTGCTCCGAAGCCGTACACTTTGATTCGTGATTGGTGATTTTGTCGGTTCCGTTGGTATCCCAATACGCAAGCCCAGGTTAAGGGGGGGGGCAGAGGGGGTCATGGGCACAGGCCCACAACGAATATCAAAAAATAGTAGGCCCCTGGTGGATAGTAGGTTTTTTCGTTTATTTAACTTTTTTTTTAGCTCGTATAAAAACAAGTATAAAATAGTATATAGTTTTATGGATTTGTGTTCAGAGAGTAATGTTTTTGATGTAATTAATACCGATGATATAATTAAAGGGTTTGCTTCCCAAAAAGAAAGAAAAAATGATTTATATAAATAACATTTTTATTTTTTGTATTAAAAAAAGCAAGAAATAAATTTATAAATAATAATTTTTTTTTGTCTCTGAAATATATTTATGTGTGGATCATCAATATTTTGATTATGGTTTTGGGCACACAAAAATTGTTTGGTCCCGGGTCCCAAATTATCATAATCCGGCAGGCGCGTACACAAGGGGGGTTTTAGGGGTTCAAACCCCTCTCGAAATTCAGGAAAATGATTAAATATGTTTTTATATAGTACGCACAAATCAAAAAAATCGCAAAAAATTAAATATATTCTTATACTCATAACCTATAAAAACTACTAAAAGCGGTTGTAAATTAAACGTATTTTCTGAACTTCGATTGTAATTTCGAAAAAAGGGTTGAATTCTTGACTATGCTTTTTAGTAGGAACCACTTTTTGATTTAAAACCAGATGTGCCCAAAATAAATACAAATGTAATGCAATAATTTCTTTAGATTTTTTTATAAATATATCTTAATTTTATGGTCCTTTAAAATTAAAAATTTAAAATCGGCTTTTTAGAAAACCTAGATATTTTGTTAAAGAATTCATGCATATATTAAAAATTGAAATCGGAAGTTTAGAAGTATGTGTAATTTACTACCGTTTATTGGTCTATAACGTACGAGAAATACGAGTGATACGATCCCCTTAATATTAAAGATTTCTTACTACTCACAAACATGTAAGGCTCTGAAATTATTGCTTATACTGAACCTCTTAAAAACTGATCATTTGCAATCCCCATAAATAATATACAAGTTTTTTGTATTCAATTGATATGAATAATTTAAATGTATTAAAAAAATAGAGTAGTCGTGTGCATTTTTTTTTTGTACATAAATGTTGATGACTAACTATAAATATGTAAAATATAATCTATAAAATGTCATATATTATTTTATCAATAAAACCGAAAAAAAAAACATAATTGGATAATCTACTTAATAGTTGGTGGTATTCAATGGGCTAAAATAAAATGACAGTTGATGAATTTCGCCGGATATAAACATTAATATAATACATATATAAATATAATAATATACAATCTAAAGTCTTTTTATCTTTGGAAATCTTTTTGTCTAATGATTTGCTACCAGCATGTTTTTTTTGCTAATGAACCTCACGTTTCGGATGTTTGTTTACTTCACTCCCATCCATCGTTCAGTGTATCTATAGAGAACGTAGTGTAAGGCAATCGTAATACATTTCATTTGTTTTTTGTGTGTGTCGGCAATTTTTTTTTGTTTAACGCTCTCCTAAGTACAAGTCTCGTACATTTTCGTTTCTGAATCAGCTCGCATTATCCATATCCTACGTATTCAAACGTCGTACGATCAGTTTGTGAATTTTTGATTTGGTATTTTATATCTGTTCAAAAATGGACGTGAGTTTAGATGAATTAATCAAGAACAAAAGGTCATCATCCCTCGGAGGACGTCATGGCGGCGGGAAACAAGGCGACTCCAGAGTTTTCAGTGGCGGTAAACATGGAGGCGGAACATCGAAATTCCGATTAAATGGCGCTGGTGGAAGCAGTGGTGGTCCTATGCGTGAGAGCAGATCCATAGCAAGGCGTTCTAATAGATTTACTCCTTATTCGAAGGTAAAAAACAAGTGAATGAACCGACGATCATTTTGTGGAATTCCTGTAATTTAAAATTGGCTTTGTCAAATTTGGTTCTTCAGTATTACGGATTATCAGTTATAAGTTGTATAAAATTATTTTTATTGCATTAACTAGTGTTTGAACCCCATCCTTAATAATTACTTGTTTGCTATTTGAATCTTTAGCAAAATTCGTGCTAACTTTGATCAGGTCCTCCTAATGTAGGATTTATATTTTTAGACTAATAATTTTTTATCGATTATCTAATCATGACCCTCGGACGGCAGTAATTATATTGAGGTACGGTTTACAAGCTGTGGCTGGTTGAAACAACTGGCCACTGCATATTGTCTGATTTTCAACGTGTTATGCAAAACACAACATTGCAGCGGAAAGTTCAAAGGGTTCCCAATAGTGCAATGTTCAGATGTATTTAATAATTTATTTAACTATATTTGTACAAATATAAATAATTAAAATAAATAACTAAACACTTAATACTACTAACTAATACTAAACTAAGACTACTAAGATGGAACAAATTATCATTAATAATAACAATATTATTCAACTGTTATATATAACTGATGTTGTATTTGGCAGTAAAAATGCCGCATTAAAAGTAGTACGTCAATATAACAATGTACCGCTTGATGGTATGTATTTCAAATATTTTGTAATTTTATAATTTTATTGATTATTTAAGGTCGCCATATGAAAATTGAACTTGCAATTGATTTTTCAACTGTTGCCAACCTTGCTACTCGTCTCAGTAGACCAGCACCATTGTCTGTACGAGGTATTCGTGATGGTATGCTCTTATTTTATACTATGGAATATATTTATTTATATATTTTAAATTAAATTATAATAGTTATAATTCAAATTCTTTTCTTTATAGGAGTGAGAGGTAAACGGGGCAAACGTGGAAATATTCGTGGTAACTTCAGAGGACGTGGCGGTAGAGGTGGCAGGAATAGCGAAAAGAAAATGCCAAACAAAGATGAATTAGATAAATTACTTGATAGATATATAAAATTTAACAAAAGCAAGAAGAACTGATTTCATGTTTATATTTTTGACTTTTTTCTAATATTTTTAAGTAAACTAATGTTTGACAGTTCAAACAGTGTTACTAAGTTATTTGTCAGATGACTTAATAACTTTTTGATAGGTTGATAGAAATTTTAACCTGTTGATCTCCATATTTGATCTTTAAATGTATATTATGTGATTTGCTCTGCATTATGATTATTCTTATATTTTTATATTCAGTCCCGGACATTTTTGTTTATTTTTGAAACTCAAATTATATACTATAATAACGATTTAATATGTTAATGAAATTAATAAGTACTATGCTTCAAAAGAGATTAAATAGCTATCAACTACAGAGAAATAAATGGCAATAAATTAAAATTCCAAAGACATTGGTGATACTAAAAACTAGACTGAATGCAGAATTGTTTTACAATCAATTATAAATATTTATCATATACTAAGGATTTTCGCTTGCGGTGCAGGAGTCAGCATCCTGGGCTCGTAGACGACTTGCGGCCGACCTGCCGTTCAGGCGAACGTCGGTCGCAAATCTCCGTCGCCTCCAGACAGAGCTAATAAAAATTGACCGGTTTTTAGTGTATATTTCTGTATAGTTTAACATTCTATATTATGTTAATAAAACAATTATATTCTGCCTTTGGTTTTACTAACAGGTCGTATTCGCAATGCATCGGAGCCGGAAGATTTCATGTACCTACCGGTTCCGAGTGCTGTTCCTTTTCTCACAAATAATTGAAAATTCATATTTTCCGCCTGTACAGTTGGGCATACCCGTGTGTGTGGTTTACCCGACAACTGTACAGATTTTCCGTTCAGTTCCGTTTACTTCTCTGTCCGTTCGTTTTTGTGATCATTTCATTTCAACTGTTGCGTGTGCCGTCTGTTCAACCGTTATAGTGTTGAACGGCGTGCAGAACGTTTTAAATAATAACACTACTTTAAATTTAATAACTGTTTTTTATAAAATATTCTAAGTTCAACGCATCAGTTGTGAAATAATTCAAACATTTAATTTATTGAGTTAACCGGTGTGAAGGTGCACGATCGGACTGAACACATATACTTATAGGTCTGTTTTTTATCCCCTTATTTACCCCTATCTCGTGTGAACTCTTAGTTGTTCGCTTTCTCATATCTGACAATAATTTATTTATTATTATACTAACATGTTATAACAAATGTAATATTCAAGTAATATTTAAGTAATGTAAATGTACTATTCTACATTAATAAATTATTACTGTAGAATATTACAGAATCAATTACTGTTACTGTACGTTCAATCCTGGATTATTAACTATAATTGGTTGGCCTCGCGATTACTGCCTACAAATGTAATTATAATTTCATATGCCATATAATATGGCCATTGAATCAATCGATGTTTAATCATCCTGTACTATTGGTGCCCGTGTATAATTATAATATTTATAATAATTTTAATGTTTCCAATATTATTTATGTCAGTGTTTCCCAAACTTTTTCGACTCGTGGCGCTCTTTTTAATCTAAGGTATTTTCAGGGAGCCTTTCCCCAAGTCATAGCATAACTAATCACTAGGAAAATTTTAGACCCGATAGTATTTCATGGCGGCGCGGCGCCCTTGTACAGACATCGTGGCGCACACTTTGGGAACCGCTGATTTGTGTGATGTGTCAGTGGTTCTCAACCGGGGGTCCGCGAGTAGGTATTAGGGGGTCCCCGGAAAAAAAAGCGTAATGGCGGAAAAATTGAAATTTGTTGTAATTAATTGAAATTACTTGTGAAACTAGTAGTGAAATATTGTAAATGTTGTAAATAGGTTTTTCGTAACTTATACGATTTAGTATAAGTGTATAATAAGAGTATAATACTGGAAAACGTGTATTGAGAATAACCAACCAGAAATTTTTGAAGCACTGCATGATTTTCTCAGTAAAACTGATATGAACTTATCACAAGGCATCAAACACCAAATTGTTCAACATTTGAATGAGCTTAAAACAGCTTTTGCAAAATACTTCCCTAAATGTGGAAAAGAAGACCACTGGATGATGTTCTCTTTCAGTGAAATTTATTTCAAATCTGCAGTTTTATCAGCCCGTGAAAAAGAAAAATTGATTGAACTGAAAACGGACTCTTCACTCCAAGCAGCATTTCTTGAAAAAAAAAATCACTGATCACCTTTTGGGCTCATGTGAAAGACGAATATCCTGAGCTTTCTTACAAAGCATTCAATGTTTTGCTACCGTTTACGAGTTCTGTATTAGTGGAAAGAGCCTTTTAGTCTTACACATTTATTAAAAATAAGTACCGCAATAGACTCTCGGTGAGTTCAGACTTACAAGTTTATTTATCATCCGTGGAGCCAGATTTCAAAAAGTTAAGTGCTAGCAAACAAGCTCAAGGATCACATTAAAATTACATTTTTAACTCAATATTATTTTTTATTATTTATTTTTATACATACAATGTATTGCGCATGTTGATCAAAATAAATCAAATTTTTCATTATTAAACTTATTTCGTAAATTCATATCTATCTTATGTAAAAATATATGACAAATTGGCATTTGGGGGTCCGTAAAGTAGTAGTGAGTGGTCAAGGGGTGCGTGAATGAAAAAAGGTTGAGAACCACTGTGATATGTGGATGGATATCTTCAGTGTAATGGTAGTCGTAAGGGCGTACATTTATGTATGTCTATAACAAAATTTAAAACTTCTGTATCAAATACGTCAATTCGAGAAAGCTCAATCAAATAATTGAAGAGTTTATTGATTTATACCAATTGGTATACACAATGTTTTACAGTTTTTCTGTAGTTTTTTTTTTTTTTTTTTTTGCAACTAATAACTAAAACTAAACCAATCACTGCGAGCGGGTCCTCGTTTTACGTGTATGCCATGGTAAACAGATATAAGGTTAACTCTGGTGGTTCGAACCTGATTATTTTAACTCCAACGATTGTTGCGCATTGTCTGTACAGGTAAACCTGTACTTTTTACCTGCACATTATATCTGACGGCTAAAAATTACGGCGCGGTAAAAATGTCTAGCGGTAAAATAATGCTAGTATGTTGCCAGCTTAATAGTTAGTTTTCAATCTTACAACGTTGTACACAATATTTTTTTTTTACCGTGCTCAATCGGGTCGTCAAAAAGGTCGGCTGATAACGGCCGTGCTCAATTGGATATCACCGGCGTAGACAAGTCACATCGTGTATGGTCGGCCTTAAACAATGTTATTTCAAATGTTTGAAAATATTATGAGCATTTAACAGTGTTTGTATTGGTAAATTAAAAATGAGAGGATATAATTACATAAAAAAAAGAAAAAATAGTATACCTGACCTTAAAAAAAAAACTCATTCATATCCTTCCTCCCCTTACGATAACTTGATATCATTGATATCATAAATATTTATTATATTATTTATTATTATATGTTTATATTTAATCAGTGCCTGGATATAAATGTGTTTTATAAATGGTAAATAGTGTGTGAATCACGCATTAACTATGATTTTAAAGTCGTTTTTAAATTTAACGTTTACTATTTTCTACGAATCACTGCTGAAAAAAAAAATCATGATAGTATTATTTGCATTTACATGTCGTATATTACAATAATTCGAAGTTGTGCATTCATAAAACTCGAACATTCATATTTTCAACAATTGTCATCCCCAATCGGAAACATCAATGTAAATTCACTTACACTCGTAAAATATTAATATTTCATACAGAAGGGGTGTGGCTTGCATTTTCAAAGACGTTCGTAGTAGTATTTCATTACAATATCATTTTTTTTTTTTTCTTAATTTTACATAAGCCTCGGCATATGACTTTTGGCATTCAAATAGTTTTATTGGTCACATTTCAGGATAAATATTTTCATAATTACATTGTTATGTTAATGAGCTACGAACCTTGCGGGATTCCCGGTTTCCCGGTGGGCTTTTCCACTGCTGTGCTTATCTATAATAGGTAAATTGGTGTTACTCGCGTATTAATTGCACATCGGACCCGCGTGCTAGCATGATTAATACAGGTCGTACTTTTGTTTATCATCGGAAAGTTAACATATTAACAACAAAACGTTGACCTCAATCATTACTGACTTGACCCAGTGGTTTAATAAATTTTTATCAACATGAAATTAAGTTCTGCGCCACAGAATACAATAGATAACTAGTTCAACGGTTGCATGCGGATTACGATCGATTGGCAATTAACAAATCGACCAACACATCTCTGTACACAAATTGTAGATTATCGACGGAAACAAAACCAAATCCTACGGTGTTAATTCATCCAATTTCTTCCCGTCTTCGTTTCCATCCATGGTCTTCCATCGTTTATCGGGGTAATCTTTTCAAATATCTTATTACGAAAGATCGATTCGTTCAATACAATTTAACCCGAACCCGTATTTGCGTTTAGTTTTTGTTTACAACTTCGATCTTCATTTGCCACAACTTATACCCGAATCATGTTAACTTATCAATACATTTTACATTAAAATAACGCTACATAACACCGTCGCATTGTTGTGGAACAGGAGAGCTTTGATGCGAAGTAGAGGTATTTTTTTTTTTTGTAATCCAGTATTATTATTATTTTTTGATTAACCTACCTCAACGAGTTATAGTACACGTGTAATTGACGTACACGAAGAATTAGCAATAACACATTTTTCGAACCAAATAAATCCCTAAATTATTTATATAATAGATACATCTACATCCCACATAATCGCACTTTCCTATGGCTATATTTTTAAATCATACATTACTCTATGTAAACGCTTGATTTCCAACCGTTTGATTACAACGCGGAAACGATAACGCAATATAATTACGATTGCGTGTGCAAACAGTAAGGTAAATCACTAAATCATTTTTCGACGTAAATCACACGTCATATATTTTCCGTAAATCAGAATTTAAAATTTACATACCTGAAGCATAAAAAAAGGGGTTAGCACACTTAAAAAAATCACCCTGTGTATATTATACGGTTTGAAAATAGGTATTATTTGTTTTCACTGCACTCCGGTGGGGATCATAGGAACGAAATACTTGGATTAACGGTCGACCGGTACAGTTGTACGTGATACTGTTTTGCGTTCAAACATATTTTGTGTTCTGTACATGCCATAACACTCAACGCGCTTTTTAATACCATTCGGTTGCAGTGCGAGGCTTCTAAATGTATATGTATTTTTTTTTTTACTTTTCATTTGCACACAGCAAAATAAATCTAGAACAGGTGAGAAAAATAATTTTTTTAATACACGAAAAGAAAATTAAAAGTTTATTATATCACCTCTTGTATACGTTTTAAATATCATTATCATTATAACGGATCATCATGGTGCTAATATTAATTTTCAAACAATTTTTGTTCATCGTATATTTTAAGCCGACATAAAAGTTTGACGTTTCCAAAATAACCATGACGATTAATGCAATGCGATTTTTATTATAATTGTCTACTGCATCGTTCCTGCCCTTTCTGTTTTCCTAGCTAAATATACACGTTATCAACTGTTGTCGAATTTTGATTTTCATATCCCCGAGTTGAAAAGTGCCTGATAAAATAGTCACTGTGGTTCGTACAACACGTACTAAACATTTTTCTAGTTTTTCGATCAATACAGCTTTACGGTGATTATAGTATCGTAAAAGTAAATGAAAAGAGGGTTGTGATTTGATTCGACTGTAGTAATTAATTTGTCGACAGCCTATTTAATTTAATAAATACACACTTTGTGTTGTGTATATTTCGAGTGATTTCAATAATTATGATAGTATGTTATGGTAAGAAAAAAACGCGGTTACGTGAATTTACACTTATTCATTGTGTACTGTTATATTTTAATGTAAAAAAATTCAACCATTTCGTCTGATTTTGTAGAAATTCATTGTTTAGTATTATATTCAGCCCATTTTCTTAAATATCTACCAAAAAATAATGACATTATTGACGTATTGTTAATTAGGTGATTGCACAGGAACGACAATGAAGTTGGTCTGTTTGATTAGCATTGTGATCTGTTTTGCTTATGCTGATGCGAGTCCACTTCAAATAATTGCCGAAAGTGTTTTAATTGCAGCGATTAAGACCTACAAAGCAATGGAAATGTTCTCGTTCAATCAATGTGATGAACATCATTCGAATTTATTGCGGGATTGGCGTAAAACGAACGAAGATTATTACAAGACATTCACAAATATATCAAAACAGATTGCTGACGAGTTAGAATATCAGACATGGTCATCCAAATTGTTTCTGAACAACATGGATTTGGGAAACAACAAGATATTTTTCCAGAACGGTACTTGTCGACATGACGCGTACGAGCAGTACGTGGTTCTATACGAATATTACGATACCGATACGAAACTGCATCCATCAAGATTAGATCCGTTTTTTGCAAGGCTAAATAAAACGTTTGATGATGAGATAGGATATTTAAGATCGGAAAACAGCAAGCTTAAGAGAAAGTTGGAAATGTGTCAAATGGAGCACGACCTAAAAATTAATCTTCAACTACCGTAAACCTCATCACCAGATTCGAGTCAAACATCGTATAATATTATCGACTCGAATCCCAATGATAATAGGTACTGAATAGCGATTAATAGATTTTAATAATTTTTACACGGGTATGTTAGTTTTTTTTAATTTTAATCTTAAGCTATTTATACAAATACTAAAATCATCAATATTTAGATCGATTGATTTAAGATAATCAATAAATACATTTCCTGTGATATTTACCTATTGTCTTTAACGTAACTATTTCGAATGTCCCTCCATCGCTTGTATTTTTGCACCCATGATAAAACGACTTGTACGCGATTTCAAAAATATATAAAATAAATATATTCATTGAAAAAGAAATAGTTCTTTGGGTTCTTTGGTTCCATAGGGAATGGACCAAATTTTATTTTACTTCTACGAATTATGATCCAGGTTAGGTTAGGTTAGTTGCTGTAGATTTAGTGTGCATAAACAAGGGCGTAGATTAAGATCATTTAGAGGGGGGGGCTTGATATATTTAGGTAACAATTATTTGTATTATTACTTATTTATTTACTAGCTGGGATTTTGACGATGGGATGTTGAATATTTTCTCCCTACCTACGCCACTGGTATGAAGCATATACATATTAATAGTTCGATGAAAGAAATTATTACAATTCCGTTGAAGATTAAACATCACACTATTACATTATTATGATATGTTGCATGTAAAAATGTATTATGTAATATATAGGTACATAGATATATTATTTTATACTAGTGGAGGGAATATGGATTATAAAGCTCAAACAGAGACAGAATTATATAGTACAGTTATACGTCGTACAGTTCTTCGTTAAGGCAATCTTTATTTATCGCTTTTTTATGTATTATTATATTTTAAGGCAATTATTTTCAGACGTTAATTTAATTTATTTTTTTGTTTAATTTTATACTTGCTTTAGAAATTTACATATTCATTATTTGCACAGGTGAGAAAAACCCTATTTTACAAATTTAATAATAGTAAATAATAAATATAAGACTTTAATGGCGTAGTTAATAAAAATATTGATTATAATAATAGCAGTATTATGTTGTAATACATTTTTCGGTAGAAATTTAAAAGATTTAAAATAGACTATAATAGGTATAAAACTTAAGTCAAATTAATGATTTGAAAATCAGTATTAAATATTAATTAAAAAAAAAAAATTGAATCATAAATGGCGTAAACACTTTTTATTATCCGTAATGCACTGATAATTATTAAGAGTAAATTCGAATTGAACAAATAACGTTATATTGATAAGAATTTTTTTTAAATAATAATAATTTATTATTGCTATTATAGATTATCAATAGTTTTTATAATTTTTATCATCGTTATCTATTAATTTACTCTAAATTTGCATTTACTATTTGTAAAAATATAATACATGCTCCTATAAATTAACGCACTGCAGATCATGAATTTACATAATTTAATAACTTGTAGTATTATTGATTATATTCGTATATTGCTAGTAATTTATAATCAATGGTAGTATATATTTGATGAATACATTGTTTATATACTAATACTTGATATTGTAATTGCTTATTGATTTTCTTTAAAATGAATATTCATTATTTTTATTATTTATATATATTTTTAAATTTCTCTATCACCCATCATTTTAGTTTTCTTATTTGAGTATCGTAATACTCTTATAGTAAACAGGGTTGATAGACTCGATTGGCGATATGGCGATCGTCGACTGAACTTTTTTGTATTGAGGCCACTTAATTAATAATTTAGGACTATAAAATAAATATTTTAAATGACAGTGACAATGTCGATCTTTACAGCATAAACTGTAGTATTGTAGGTACCATTAGTATATTGATAATAATATTTGAAAACAAAATGTTATTTCTTATCTTGTTTTCAATAATTCAATAATTCGTTATTTACCTGAATACCACATCCCACATCAAACTTAATATTACATTTTTATTATATTCTTAATAAATTGTTTCATTCAATCAACACTAAATATGTTTTTCTGGGAACATTTTTTTTAATCACAATAAAAATTGCAAGCCTGCAACACTTTAGCAGAGTGAGTCTTGTTTGGCTTTGGTTTTGCAGACTCAGTCTTGGTATTGGTTTTGGTCTTGCAGCAAGATCAACTTTGCTCATCACTAACCATAATCCATCATCCATTTTCATTCGTAAATCAAAAAATTTTAATATTTTAAGATTTTGCGACCACACTGTTGTTCTTATTTTCATGATAATATCATAAAAAGTTTACCGCGTAAAAATCATAGATAATAAATATTATCTTTCTTGAAAAATTGTATAAAACATGTGTAGGGGTGGCAATAAAACTTTATCTGGGTCGACAAAACTCTGAGTACGTCTTTGACAGTATTGGTATAATATACTCAATAACATTTTAAATTTTAGATTTTGATGTAAAAACATAAAAACATAATTTTATCACATATATTAATGTTTATAAAAATTATAAACATTATAGAGATAATTGAATCTTGATGATCGCTTTTGTACAATATTTGGCAGTTTGAGCAATTTATAGCAAAACAACGGATAAAAAAAAGGAAGTGTGGAAAGATATAAAAAAAAAAAATATAGGTCTTTAACACAAATTGAATTATCAAAATCGGCTTGAAAAAAAAAAATTACTACAAATGTGTATGATTTAAGTTATATACTAAAAATAAAAAAAACGATATTATTTTTAAAATATGTGCTGGAACATTGTAATGCTATGTCAACGATTAATTAAATACATAAATCATTACAGGTTGTAGTGTCAATGATTCAAAATGTACTTGGGTCGCTTAATCATCATAACGACCTATTTTTACTATGTTTATGGCAATTTAGGCCAAAAACTTAAAGAGGTACAGAGGTTTAAGCTAAAAGAAAAACAGTCATCTGGTAGGGCATATTCAGATCATTTTGATAAGTTGCGTGCCGAATACGAGAAAAATGAAGATAACCATAAAAAATATAAAGCAATTATAAAAGAAGTATATGACGAATTGGAATATCAAGCCTGGTCTATTCATTTGTTTTTGAATAATATAGATTTGAGAAACAACAACATATTTTTCCAGAATGGTACTTGTCGACACGATGCATATGGACAGTACAAAGTTTTATACCATTATTTTGTTGCCTATACGAGATTACACCCGTCTAGAATAGATCCATTTGTTAAAAGATTGAACAAACGGTTTAACGATGAAATCAAGTACTTAAGAAAAGAAAATGATGAATTTAAGAAAAGTTTTAAATCGTGTAAACGGAAGCACGACGATAACTTGAAGATTCTACCGGTGCCGTGACTCTGTCCAATGGAAGTTGCTCGAAAATACGAGAAAAAAATCAACCGTAAACAACTAACGTTTTTAATTCGCATACGATACAGCGCAAAAATAAAATTTTGTAATATTTATGTTTTTTTATTTATTTAGATGTTTGTCCGTGTTCACGTCCGGGCGCGTGCGACCATTTTCGACCTGTGCGCCGCCGTCGTTCTATGTTGATCCGAGTCGTTCGATATCGTTTGCTTTACGGCAGCCGTCGCCCGTCGTTGTAAGGGTCGTTGAAACGCCCTTAATTATAGTAATTACAGTTAAATACCATTTAATTTCAGAAATGTCAGCACCCCCGATATTTGGGTTCTAGTTGTGCCCATCGGTGCCAGATCGCGATCGGCTAACATCACGTTATTCACGTGCGTCGTCGTTGTATTGTATTATTGTATTCATGCTATATTACTTATCGTATTTGTATTTATCATTATTTACCACTATTTATAGTTTCGTAGTATTGACGTTTGTTTTGAACATTACAACTTGCAATTATTATTACTTATTCAGTCTGTGTTGCCTTTCGGCTATTTATTTATAATTATTGAATCTTTTTGTTGCCTATACAAGTATAAAACAAACCGTTGTACAGCGGTGCGAGTTGCCGAGTCTAACTGCCCGGTTAAGAGCCCGGTAGCGATACCAACAAGTAAAGTGTAATCATTTGATTTTGCGATTTTTAATTTAATTTTTAATTATTTTCAATTCACTGGTTTAAAATTTTCAGTTAAACGTTATCATAAAAATACAAGTAAAAGCTGGAAAGCATTGATCAAATAAAATAAAAAAACTTTAGTGCATTTTTGGTAGACATTTATCACATTTTTAGTATATTTTTACATCATTATTTAATATTTTAGGTCAAATTTTTCTAAAGCATTTTAAGGTATTTTTTAGGGAAAATTTTTAGGGCGTATTCAAATGGAACGAGTATACAAACCATAACGGTTATCTAATCCATAAGGGGTACCCGTTAATGTATAGTAAGTACGTAAGTATGCGTATTGCAATCAATCTATGTCGATAAGACGTATACACAATCCTCCCCATTCCACAATCCACCCCCCCCCGCAAATCAATAGTAAACTAAAATTATATTTTTCATTAAAAATTTTATTTATAAAATAATATATTAGGTTTTGTATTACCTGAAAGTACATGCTTGTAAAAAAACTTCGTAGGTCAGGTTTAGGTACACGTAATATTATTTTTTTTATTGGGTTGATTGGTATGACTTATTGAGCTTCTACTTCTGATCATTCACTTGTTATAGTTATAATTGTACAGTAAAAAATATAATATTAATATAATATTAGTAATTTACATTAGCTAATATAAGTTATTAATTATAGTTATTATTTTGTATTAGTTATAAAATATTGAAATTAAAACTATGGGAGTACATTATATGTTGAACAGTAGAGGGAATTAATGAATACATGTGTACATAAATATTTTTATCGTTTCTAAAGAAGTTTTGCTAAACTTTTGTTAGTGAAATAATTGTATATATTTTTGGAATTTTTCTCACCTAGTACTTGTTGCATTGATAATGGGTTTCCGAAGATTGTTTGAAACTATTGAACTTGGGGCGTTTTAGAGTGATATGTTTGATAGTCAGTTCTTTGTCGCAGAGTTCGTTGTTTGATTGGACACTCCTTTTTTGTTATGTAGTGCGAATGTATTAACTGGGAGTGTCCAATGGTTTCTTTGTTATTTCTTCTTGGACCAAAGATAAAATAAAATTTAATTGTTTCCGATTTAGATCAATGAATTCCCGAAATTGTTCATCGTCATTAATTAGATGTCCATTTATCAATTTTTCAAAGAGTCCTTCAGAATTCCTCCTGGTGAACAAACTTTTGAAAGATTTTCTTTTCTTTTTTTTTTTTGGAATTAGCGTCTTGAGTAATTAATTTTCAATTTTTCCATTACGAAGCAGTAATTAAGCACAGATATAAGTATTATATTGTTCAAAATCAAATTTTGTTGAAGTTTTAGAAATTTAAAAAGCAGAACTTAGGTGTGAAAACTACGTGCAGAAAAGAGTCGCAGTCGCAGTGGTTATGATTTGATTTCGTAAAATTAAACTTTATGTGTGTGGGATAATATAATAAAACCTACGACGCAACAGCCGACGTTACAAAGGAAATAGTATAAACAGACGGCATCTAGACGTCGCGTCAAGATTCGGCGTTTTATCGCGTCTGGACGCTGCGCAGGAAACCGTACTTCAAAAGCATACTGTATCGCGTTAATTAAACGTGAATATGAGACGGTAAACATTTTTATTTTAATAACTATTTGTTCTTCGGAAACATTTATACATAAGAAAATTAAATAGCACTATATAAATGTTATTCATCACCGAAAGTCGATAGTACCGTCAGAAGAGAAGTAGCCCAAATTTTAGAATCATTTTCTCAAAAATGTTTATCACCTCTCTATATCGACTGCTATACTAGAGGAAACGTGGTGATTTATCACTTGACACGACTTGCTGGCATTGCTATCTAGATTTGTACGGCAAGACGTGAGCAACAGAATGCGCTTGACTTGTTTTTCTTCTGGTCACGACGAGGATGGCACTCGCTGTCGGTTCACCGTTCGCTCTCTTATCCGTTGCTCGTCCTCGACGCAATACCTTTAATTCGTGTAAAAATAAAACGTTTTTCTTTAAATAAATATTTATTGCCATGTACTTCATTCGTTCTCACATTATTTTTTTTTAACCTCTGAAATTTTACCTGGACAGATTCGTTAACTAAAGAACGATTAATCCTATAAACACGAATAAAGATGTCAATATCGACCGAAGATATGATATGTAAGATATCGATGTAAAAACCCATAATTATCGCTTACAAAAAGTATCGTAATTTTAGTATCGATAAAAATCATTATTAGTATATTTGTATATCGATAAAAAAAAAAAAATAAAAAAAAAAAACAGTTAAAACAAGTCGAAAATCACTTAATAATAACTGTATAAGGCAGTTGTACAAGAATATGATTCAGTATCTACAAAACGGAAACGACACACACAAGATGCAAAGGTCGACGTCAAAAACAAAACAAATGCATATTTAGTTTTAATTTATAATTATTATTTATTAAGCATATAATACTACATTACTAATATATATATATACTGTTGACATTCCTAAACACGAGTTTAAAACATTCTGCTTGCGGATCCGCCGTTACAAACTCAGTAATAATACAAATATCAAAATCGACACAATACATTTTAAAAGTTGGCTGTATATTATTCTCTTTTAACGTACTGAACTGAAGTGAACATCAACATTACATATAATAATATCATTTGTTTTTCTATTGACTCATGAGTTCCATCGATGTACGTATTGTTTGTGAAAATAATAAAGATATTTCGCTGTGTTTACATAAACCGAGTTGAACCAAATCGACTCGCCATGTCGAAGTTCTCCGTCACGAACGAAAGTACCAACCATCTCGTACGAAAATAAAATGTATAATATTGTTACGTGTCACGAGCTCGATCTTGCTCTCGAACAATTGTTGGGTGGACGACGGTGTTGTTTCAAAAGAAACGGAATCACTTAAGTGAATTAACTTTTTCAGTATGTTATTTTATGTACTTATTGTGTTCATCCGTGTTCCAAGTGTTTTCGATTAACTTTTACAAAGGGTGATGGAAAGTGTTGGTTTATGGTGTCGGAATTGCCTTCTATACAAATGAATCTGTTTACTTTTCACATCAGCGTTAGGACTTGTTTCATTCATAAAAATAGGATTTTCCTAGGGTTATCCATTGTGACTAGGGCATGCGTGTATTGTTCCTGAAGCTAATGTTCATAATATTCTGTCTACTTCGTTACCTGATATTCTAAACAGCATAAGTATATAATACACAAATTAATAATATGTAATAAAAATATATAGGAGCCCGTGACAATACTAACCTTGGAATTCTCAAAGCGATGATGCCCGTGAAACGGACAAATTGAAAAAAAATTTTATGTGAAACACAAACATCAGCTCCCGTATCCAAAATCCAGCTGAGCGTTAGATTCGTTTAGAATTTCTTACCGTTTTTTCAATGAGCGTAGTATTTTTGTTGGGCCGCAGAGTCTGCAGCAATATGTACGGTTATGGCTTAGAGCTATGTTTTTTGCATTAAGTTACCCTAATTGGCGGATGGTAGTATGAACATAGTCTGTATTACGAAGCAGTGGTGCCGAAATTCTAAAATTTTACTCAGGCCAAATAAAAATACAATGGCCTTAAATAGTACCCCAGTGGCCCAAGCCTACATTTTTACTTTGCTTAGAAAAATAATTTGTGCTCTCAAATTACAAGGATGATTCACACTAATCAGAAACGTTCCGACAGACACCGTATCGTTCCGCAAAATATTGTATTATTTGTTTTAATTTAGATAATTCATATTTGAACGTTACCGTTCCGTTCATATACGTACCGATCCGACAGAATCCATTCAACATTCTTCGCGGGAATAATCGTGAGGTCAGAATATATTGCAAATAAATAAATAAATATGGTGCAAACAATAGATGGGTTCCTCTGATCCTCGACCTCATTTTAAAAATGTAGTCGGGCCACGGCCTTAACTAAACGTAGGGTTCGGCGCCATTGTTATGAAGTATTAGCAAAAAAATACTATGTGATTTAAAATGAATTACTCCAAATTCTAATTTTTATTTCTTTTTTTAATAATGACATATGTTAGTACCATATATTCATATATCTTCAGAATGGATAAATTATTATATACAATGTTTTTTGTTTTTGTTTTTTTTTTTTGTTTATATAATTTGTTTCTTTATAATAATAATAATATATTATTGTTCCTAAAACGTTTATCTATAAAAAGTGGCACTTATATATTGTAGCCTAAATGGCTAAAACAATTGAGCACAGAATACTCAAAACTGGTAATCTTAATTTACAACATTATTACTAGTATAATACAAAATTCTCAATTGATGTATAATGTTTATCGATATTATTTACAGGTAAACAACTTATAACTTAAAACGACTTGGTAAGACCTACACAAGTTGATTTATGTATTAAAAACAAACATTATATATAATGAACAGAATTTTTTTTTACACATTATCTACAAAACATTTAAATATATAAGTTATTAATACTCGTAGTTATTTCAGTTTAAATAGGTCAAACATTTTAAATTGGTACATAACATTGCAGCATTACATGGAAAGTATGCGTATTTTGTTTTACAACCGAAATTAACGTATAATATGTAAAGATGTCGATTCATTTTTGGTTGCTAAACCGTAAATTTGTTATTTGACTACCCATAATGTATAGATGCATTAATACTAGGTAGTCAATATTTTTTAGTTTATCTATCGTTATAATTTAATAATAATTCCTTGTATATCGTAAAGAATTCGACGCATGTAGGCACAACATTTGTTAGGCTGTCGAGGGATTAGTGTAAGAAAAAAAAGAGAGAAAGCATTGTATTTTTTTTGCAGCGTTCACAATATTAAAAAAAAAACTTCTGGGTAAGCTCGTTAAGATTTAACTAATATATAGTTCATGTAAGTGTCCAAATGTCTATGAAACAAGGGTTAAAGTACCTATATAATTTAAATACCCTGCATAAGTCTACGAGTAAAAATAAAATATCAATAATACATAATACACTAATTTAACGCACAATAAGACAAATATAGAAATAACATTGTATAGTTAAAATATTAAACGAATAATAATACATTTAAATAATAATATTTATAAAATAAACGATGTTTAGTCAAATTGACTAATATTATACTCTGAACGTTTTCATGGGTATAGAAAATAAACCATCATATCAATCTACACAGAGATAATAATAATAATAGTAATAATAATAATAATAATAATAATAATAATAATAATAATAATAATA